GCTCCTCCTCACTGCGGGGCTGGTAGCGTAGCAGGAAGTTCAATACTTCAGCCTGGCCCCATTGGTCCAGTTTGGACATTCTATCCAAAAAAGAAAACAAAAGTGCTATTTTAGCAACAAAATTAGGACTATTTGCATACTACTGCATGTCACCAGTCATCTGTTCATCATAACAAGGGAGAATTCTTAAAAATAGGCTGTGCCGTAATCAAATTATTCTTTTTATGTACTACTTAAAGTTTACACAAAATAGTCTTTAAATTCTAATACGAGTTTACGGTACAAATGCACACTCATCTAAGGCCAAAGACATGATCATGATCACTTTACCCTCGATCTAGATCCTCTACCTTTTAAGACAGCATAAATGGCTTAGTCTGAGGGACATGACTAAAAGGAGGACAGAACCCACAGGATGTTTCTGCCATCTCTCTATATCACTAAAAGGAACTAAGGCAAATAAAAGAAATCCTCTCAATGAAATATGGGGAAGTTAATAGCTACGATAAGCTTTCTTTTTAAAAAAATTAACTTTCTTTACTATTCCTTAACTCAACACATCGATAAGATCCCACTAGGAGCAGATCTCGTCATAATTAAAAGAGCACCGAGGTGAGGCATCCACACCGATTTAAGAGATGGTGGGCGATGGGCTTATTGATGACAACACCTCCTTCCTGTTTCAGAATTTCCTCTAGAGACCTCAAGCAGTTCACCACCACAATTGGATCCTGGTCACGCAGCAAACTGTATAATTCATTTACCAGGGCACCATCTAGAAAAGAGAACAGAGACCTCAGATAAAGAAGGAAAGCTTCAGAGTCACGGGGATAAGGGAACAGAGCCCGAGTAATAGCTGTAAACAAAGCTGAACTTCTCTGCTACAAAAATCACAAAGGCAATACCAAGTCAGGGCCCAAAACTGCCATCTGCTGCATACCTAAGACAAAGGATCGCACCTGAGCCTCAAAGAAAGGATTCCTCTAATCTCAGAAAATATCAAGCCCTGCATCCTGCTTAAAGGGACATGCATAGAGTCAGGGCCACATTATTACTTTCTACAAAAGCTACATAATCTTTCCCAAAATCATATATATAATGCAGGCACAAATAAATATTGATCAGGATGGATCACACTGAAACTTACCCACTTCAGAGTCTCCATGAAGATTATGCATCTTGGCACAGCCAAGGACTGCCACCCTCCTGACGTATGAAGCCTTATCCCGCAGACCATTGAGAATAGGCTGTTGGATATACTCCTGTACACCAGGCATCCTAAGCAACACATCCTGGAATCAGCCAGATCCTGAAATCCTAGTTTTGACACATTTCAGCCCCTAGCAACTTAACGGACGGTTTAGTGGGTGTTTGAATGTCCATCTATCAGATCATGAATTGGTGAAAGCTGTTGTCAAACTAAAAAAAGCCTATTTGACTTTATATTTGGAATAATGCTACACACAATTGTTTAGAAACCTTTAACCCAACCCAAGAACTATTTCATCTAGAGTGAGAATGAAAAACTCCCTCTAATGAACCAATCCTATCCTATATAATAAAAGGCTAATATACAAATTGACCGAATGACAGAACAACCAGTCGCTATGACATGCACTGACCACCAGTGGACAGACACTCAATGCAGGAGCTGCCCCCTGGTGGTCAGTGCGCTCCCACAGTGGGAGCGCCGCTCAGCCAGAAGCAGGGTTCACAGCTGGCGAGTGCAGTGGCGGTGGCAGGAGCCTCTCTCACCTCTGCGGAAGTGCTAAGGATGTCCAAGTGATGGCTTAGGCCCACTTCCCAAGGGTGCAGGCTGGGCTGAGGGACACCCCCTACTCTAACCCCCATCTAGTGCACGATTTTCATGCACCGGGCCTCTAGTGTGATATAGTTTTCCAAGCTAAAGTGATGGCTGAACACTGTGACAACAGTGTTCTCAGGATAAAAAAGCTCAAATAAATTGTCATCATTGAAAACCTACCCCTTGCCCTAGCTGGTCTGGCTTAGTGGATAGACTGTCAGCCTGCAGACTGAAGGGTCCTGGGTTCGATTCCAGTCAAGGGCACATGCCCACATTGCAGGCTTGATCCCCAAAAGGGGGCATGTAGGAGGCAGCCGATCAATGATTCTCTCATAATTGATGTTTCTATCTCTCTCTTCCTCCCCCTTCCTCTCTGAAATCAATAAAAACAAACAAACAAAAAAAGCCCTACCCCTTCATGGACATGAACAACAGCATGGTGATTGCAGGGGGCAGGGGAGCAGATAAGGGATATAGAAGAAGGCATAGCTAGAGGGGATAAATGGTGATGGAAAAAGTTAAATTAAATTTAAAAATGAAATAAAAAATCTACCCTTTGACCCCCTAAATTCATCAGCCACTGAGAAACGAGCAAGCAAAAGGGTGCTCACCTGAGGCTGCACATGCTCCGCAGTGCCAGCCCTCGCACCATCGGGTTGGGGTCCGAACAGTCTTTGCACAGTGTGTTGATGGCCAGGAGAGCCAGATCTGGCTTCAGGGGAGCGTATGTGCACATGTAGAGATAAACCAACTTCTTCTGAACAATATCTACGGTGGCACTGGCCTTCACCATTTCCATGAAAACACCAGACATGTCCACGCCCTGAGTCATGTGCCTGAAACCAACACACATAGTAGGAAGAAGCAAAAACACGTTAATTCCCAACCTATAATGAAGGCTTTTTGGTTTTGGTTTTTTTCTTATACATGTCCTGGTTATCTAACTAGATTATGATCTCTGCGAGGGAAGCAACCAGGTCCACCTTGTCTATTATGTCACCCAGGGGCCTGCAATAAACATTCTTCTATTTGTTCAACACTTACTGAATTCCGAATACATTCCAGTGAAATTCAGCCTTTACATCCCAGGGATATGATCTGGGGACATAATCTTGAAAAAGGAATGTCTAGGAACTCAAAGTCTACTAAGGAACCAGACAAGAGCACCACTAATTACAGTACAACAGATAAGTACGATAACAGAAGACAAGGCACAGTGGGAATCCAGAGCTGAATGCGCAGGACTCACCAGGCAGGTGTGGTGGATAGGTAACGAGACGTGCCATGTGGCAGGTAGGCCTGAGCAACAATGGCACATTCTTTTGAGAGTCTGCAGGTAGTTGAGCTAGCCTGGCATTCCTTGGGTGCTATGATAAAACATTTGGACGTGCCCGGACCGGTTTGGCGTCAGCCTTCAGACTGAAGGGTCCCAGGTTGGATGCTGGTCAAGGGCACATGCCCGGGTTATGGGCTCGATCCCCAATAGGGGGCATGCAGGGGGCAGCCAATCAATGATTCTCATTATTGATGTTTCTGTTTCTCTCTCCCTCTCCCTTCCTTTCTGAAATCAATATATATATCTAATTTCGAGGTGATTCTGTAGATCGCCGTTTCTCAAACTATGGTCTCCGGCAGGAATCAGATGGGATGTCTGTTAAAAATGCAGATTTCTGGGTTCCATCCCATCCTACTGAGATCAGAATGACTGGATTGGATGAAAATTTTATATTAAAACTTAAAAAGCACCCCAAGGGGCTTCTGCGTATACTAAAGTTTGTGAGCCACGGTTTAGGCAAGACTTTTATACGTTCAAATTCGTACGCTGGAAAGCTCTCTCTGCCTGCAACGAGGGGGCAAGGTGACCTGCTGGTACCTAGGCTACGGCAATTGCTTTGGCAATGAAGCCGGGACAGCAGCAGTGCTTTTTCTTTTTTTAAAGGATGGATATTCAGAACTATGAACCCGTCCGGCTTGAGACGTGAAGTGTCATCAAGGCTGATTCCCACGCTTGGCCAGCGGGGCAGCAATGCTCACCAGCAGGTTTGGGGCGGGGGAGGATGAGGAACTATTTTGCATGACTTTGAAGAAACATCCAGGCGGAAACGCCAAGCAAGCAGTTAGGCCCTGGGGGTCTGAAGATAAAAAGACGTCCGAACTGGATGTGTGACAGGTAGGGAGTCAGCAGTTAAAGAGGGATGACACCGCCCAGCTGAGTAAACGAGGTCGAAACTGAGCCTCGAGGGGGAGACGCGGCCACGGCCTTAGACCCCGGGGCGGCGGGAAGGCCCCGGCCCAGCCCACGCGGGAAAGCGCCTTCGCTCTGGCGGAGGCGGCCGCCCCGACGGGCTGCGCGGGGGCGCGGGGGCGCGAGCCGGTACCTAATCACTCGCTGGATGACATTCCGGTAGCGCAGCCGGTTCGCCTGGACGTGAGGGTTACACAGAGCCTTCTTCAGCTCCTTCACCGCGTCCTCGGAGCCGAGGTACGGCATCTCCCCTTACACTCCCGGGCGGCGCCCACGGCCCGACGGGGAACCTGCGCAAAGGAAGTGCCAGTGAGGGGACCAGAGGCCGGACCCGCCGCAGCCAGGCCGCCGCCCCCGGCGAGCCGCCCACCCCCGCAGGCCCGGGGGTTCCTTCCCCCGCACTTTCCCGCCGGCTCGCACCGCTCGGAGCTCCAGCCCGGCAGGCCACAGGCCGAGACCCAGCCTCTCAGGGCCAGCCTTTCTGGCGCCTCCTCGCGGCCGCCGTCGCCCAGAGGCCCTAGCTCACGCTCGGCGGAAGTCCCGCCTCCTCCTCCAGAGGCCACGCCCAGCAGCTGCCACTCACCCTCTCCCCGGGAGCGCCGAGCGCCGCCTGGCCCAGACCTTAAAGCGCCCTTCCCCCAACCTCTCCCGGAGAGTGCGGCCGCGCTCGGTCCGGCCGGGCGGCGGCGGGCGCTCGGCAGTCGGCTACCTCGGCCTGTCCCGCCGGCAGCGCGCGCTTTGAGTGGGCTCCGCGCCGGCCGGGCCGGCTCCCGCGCGCGGGTGGGCTTGGCGCTCCGCCGAGCGCGGTCGCTGCCTTCTCTTTCCTGCCCACTCTGGTGACTTACTCCTCCCCGGGGCTGGCTTTTCCCTCGGGGTCCCCGGCCCCGCGCTCGCCCCGGCGGGACTGTTCTCGGGGCGGCTGTCGGAGGCTCACGCCGCGGGGCTGTTCCCATGCGGATCCCACGGCGACGGCCACCCCGCCACCATGAACGGGGTCCTGATCCCGCACACGCCCATCGCGGTGGACTTCTGGAGCCTGCGCCGGGCTGGCTCCGCGCGGCTCTTCTTCCTGTCGCACATGCACTCGGACCACACCGTGGGGCTGTCCAGCACGTGGGCGCGGCCCCTCTACTGCTCCCCAATCACGGCCTTCCTCCTGCACCGTCACCTACAGGTACGGCGAGCTGGAGTCGGCGTCCAGGACTCCCATCCAGCTCAGCCTTGGGGGCCTAGAGGGGCCAGAAGACTGGTTGTTACTAATGGGGCAGTTGTGCGAACCCAGCAATGCATCTTTAGCCGGAGCGAGAGTGTGGATGCCAACGGGCGGGCTTGGGATGTTTCAGCTATAAGCTGGAGAGATCTTTTAGCCCAACCAAGGAAACTCCTGTTCCTGCCTCGTCACATAGCTAGGCTAGTGTTTCCCCAACTGGCCTCATCATAAGAACCCGCCCAATAGGCTGGGTAGATAGATTCTCCCCCACCTCCCCTCCCCCATCTGGTTCAGTAGATATAGCTGGCGCAGGTCCTGGATATTTGGTGGGAAATTTTTTTTAAAACAGGTGCCCCCAAGGGATTATTATGATCTGGAAAGTTTGAGCATCGCTGACTAGACTGTTTTCTGGAATCTTCATTTAAAATTGTACAGAGGGTGGGGTGGTGAGTGGGAGAAGGCAGGAATCTGCATGACAGCTTCTGCTCAGCATTTGGCCAGCTTTCCCTCAGTCGGGAAAGAAATAGCTCCTGGCCCAGGGAGGTATCAGGGAGGGGAGGCTGGTTCACTGGCAAGACCTACTGTTTCCTCAGGTGTCTAAGCGGTGGATCCGAGCCCTGGAGGTTGGGGAGAGCCATGTCCTGCCTCTAGATGAAATTGGGAGAGAGACCATGACTGTCACCCTGATGGACGCCAATCACTGCCCTGGCTCGGTCATGTTTCTCTTTGAAGGATACTTTGGAACCATCCTCTACACAGGTGGGCCTCCCAGGAACCCCTCCCACTTCCTCAGCCTCCACACGACTTCCTTGATCAGCCTTAACTCGTAATAGAATGCTCGTTTCAGCAGCACATACGCTAAAATGGGGACAATACCAAGATCAGCGTGGCCCCTGCAGAAGGATAACACGCAAATTCCTGAAGTTCCATCTTTTTCTTGAAACCTATGGAACCCTTTATTAACCAGTGACACCCAATAAATTTGTTATAAAAAGAAGTCTGAAGGCCTCCTAGCTTAATCCCATAGGAGCACTGACCCTTTCTGGAGACTTCCCACTCCTTCAGGGACCAAACCGTGAACAGGAACGGGATAGAAACATTTCCACAAGGAAGCTGTACTAAGCAGAGTAGGTCGGTGCCGGACTCCAGGTTTCCCGAGAGCCAGAAAGCTAATGCCCATTTGTTGTGGGAGGTGGGAGGCTTGTCTTCTATACTTTTGTCTCTGTTGCCGCCCCCAGGTGATTTTCGGTTTACCCCGGCCATGCTGAAGGAGCCAGCCCTGCGCGTGGGGAAGCAGATCCACACCTTGTACCTAGACAACACCAACTGCAACCCCGCACTGGATCTCCCTTCCCAGCAGGAAGCGGCCCAGCAGATTGTGGCGCTCATTCGAAAGCACCCACAGCACGACGTGAAGATCGGTGAGTGCTTTCCGTTCCTCTTCTCTCGCCCGTAGGGAGTGCACCGAGGGTCTTTGTGGGCGTCTCACATCTCTCAAGTCTTTGTGCAGACCCCCCCTTCTCCAGGACACCTACACCTGTCCATCTTTTTCTTTTTAAGTTTTTAAAAATATATTTATTGATTTCAGAGAGGAAGAAAGAGGGAGAGAGAGAGAAACCTCAGTGATGAGAATCATCGATTGGCTGCCGCCTGCATGTCCCCTAGTGGGGATTGAGCCCCCAACCCGGGCATGTGCCCTGACTGGGAATCGGACCTGGCTCATAGGTCGATGCTCAACCACTGAGCCACGCCAGGAGGGCTGCGCTGTCCATCTTAATTTAAAATGGCCATCTGCTCACCGTCTCTGCCTCCACAGTCCCAACTCCTGATTGCATCTGAGCTACCTGCATCTGAGTTTGTTGCTTTGTTTTATATCCCACATGAGTGAAATCATATGCTTCTTGTCCTTTAACATCAGACTTATTTCGCTTAGCGTATTACTCTCAAGATCATCCATCCATGTTGTCGCAAATGGTAGTATTTCCTGTTATGGCTGAGTAGTATTCCGTTGTATGTATGTACCACATCTCTAATTACTCATTGAGGGTCTGATGTTACTGGTATTTCTTACCAGTTCCTTCTTTGTACTTTAGTAGCAGCAAACTGACCCCTCTTAACGCGTTCTGCCATTTCCTTCCCCTGCCAGCTTAACCTGGGCCCCCATCCCTGAAGACAGCGCAGTTGTCGTTTTTCGGGAAACCTTCCCTAACTTCATCAACTGGAAGATACTTTTCTGTGCCCCAATATTACTGTGTGCGCGCCTCTAACAGTGCCTTAACCACATGGTTTCTGGGTTCCTGTGTAGATCACACTGCAAGAGGACTGAGACTTTTTGTTCCCATAGTGCCTAACACTGGTAGATGCTTTTCTGTGTGGAACCGAATGAATGAGTGAATTCTGTGCTAACTTTTCCCTACCCCATTTTCCATATATCTCAGCTCAAATGCCATCCCATCCCTGATGCACTCCGATTGTCCCATTATATTGTGTGTTTTTGTTGCACATTTGGTTGATTTATTAGATTCCCCAATAGCTTCATTCTCTTTCTTCCTTTACTTTCCCCAATACTGTTACCGTTATTCAGGACTCTATAGCCTGGGGAAAGAGTCCCTGCTGGAGCAGCTGGCCCTGGAGTTTCAGACCTGGGTGGTGTTGAGTCCTCGGCGCCTGGAGTTGGTGCAGCTGTTGGGCCTGGCAGATGTGTTCACAGTGGAGGAGAAGGCTGGCCGCATCCACGCCGTGAACCACACGGAGATCTGCCATTCTGCCATGCTGCGCTGGAACCAGGCCCGCCCTACCATTGCTATCCTTCCCACAAGCCGGAAAATCCACAGCTCCCACCCCAATATCCACATCGTCCCGTACTCCGACCACTCCTCCTACCCGGAGCTGCGTGCCTTTGTGGCAGCGCTGAAGCCTTGCCAGGTGCTGCCCATCGTCAGTCGCCAGCCCTGTAGGGACTACTTTCAGGACAGTCTGGACCCCAGGCTCCCTGTGCCCTTGATTCCAGACTCTGTCCAGCAATACATGAGTGTCTCCTCCAGCAAACCAAGCGTCCTCTGCCTGTTAGAAAGGAAGCTCAGGAGGCCGAGGACCCAGGGTGTGGTGTTTGAATCTCCTGAGGAAGAGGCTGATCGATTTCAAGCTGACGGGGACTCCAAGAAAGCCAAGAACGAGGACCTTTCTGGGAACCTTGAGAAGCAGCCTTCCCTCCATCCTTTGCGGACCAAGAAGCAGTTGTTCCCAGACCGCTGCAGCAAGCAGGCAGTCCCTTTTTCCGAGTCCCAGAAGATGGTGACCGTGCTGACTGCCCCCTTGGGTCTTTCAGTTCATTTAAGGTCTCCAGAGGAGGAATTTCTCCCTCCGGAAACTGGGGAGGAAATTGGTGGAGGGCCTCACTTGGTCCCCAGGGGAGACAATGGTGGCACAGCAGTCTCCAGGAACTCGTGTGCGTGGGCGGGCCAGGATTCACCCCAGTCTCCCAGCAGCAAGGCTGTCCCGCTTCTGGCTCCTGAGTTCAGCGGCCTGGCCCTGAAATACCTCCTGACTCCACTGAACTTCTTCCAAGCAAGGTTCTCTTCCAGGGGCTTTGACCAGCAAATGGAAAAATACCATAAATCCTTGCTGAAGTGCAGACGGGAGCACAGCCTTGTTTGAGCCAGTGCCACAGTTTTAAAGACAACGGCTGATGGCTGGTGGGGAGTTTGTTTAGGGCCTTTTCTGTCTTCCCAGGATTCTTTTGGGCTCACCTTGGAGCAACACTCCTCAAAGTGTGATCATTGGAAGCCTAATGCTTATGGAATCCTCAGTATATAGTTGACTGTTTGAAAAATCATCTTCATTAAAACCCCTTTACATTGTGAGCCCCTGTAAGGTGGCCTGCAGTAATAATCTGTTTACATTTTTTTATATATTTTTTATTGATTTCAGAGAGGAAGAGGGAGAGATAGAAACATCAATGATGAGAATCATTGATCAGCTGCCTCTTGCACGCCCCCTACTGGGGACTGAGCCCACAACCTGGGCATTTGATGTTGACTGGAATTGAACCCAGGACCCTTTGGTCCACAGGCCAGCACGCTATCCACTGAGCCAAACCAGCTAGGGCCTGCTTAAATTTGTTAACACAGTGTTTCTCCAACATTTTTGAATGTGCAATCCTCTTAAGTGGCTGCAGAAATAGAGTCTGAAGCCAAAGGGCCCAGGGTATTCCCATTTTGTGTGTCATGTGCCATTCTCCATGTCCCCTCCTCCCTTTTCCTAGACAGAAGTCCCGAGGTGGTTCTGTTTTCTCACTTAGGAACTGGAGCGCTGGAGGATAAAGTGGGGATCCAGGCAGCACGTTCCAATCCTGGAGGTCACTGACTTGCCATGACCCCATTCCAGCTACTTCCTGTCTCTGTCTTGGGGAGGGAACAGGAAGTGAAGAGCCTTGGAACATGCAGAAAAATTCCATCTTTGCCCCCACGAGAGTTTGTAGTCACTGGAGACCTACCTGGAATGGTGCCAGCTGGAGCATTGGGCACCCTCCCCAGGGCGGTACCTGGAACCAGGATGAGGGTATGATGGGCCTCCCAGCTGCCTGGAGGCCCTGATTGTGACTGAAATAAAATTACAAAAGATCACATGTGCTGTCAGATATTCCTGATTGTTCACATAGCTGGGATGTTTACTGCCCTCCCCCCTTCAGGCCCCCACCCTTGGGTTGAGTAGGGAGCCAGAGCACACAGCCTGTTTGTTTTAGTATCCAGGGCAGAGACCAAGGAGCCAGCTGGTGGAAGGGGTGGGGGTGTGCCGTTCTGCCCTGTTCTGCTCACAGCCTGACGGATGCCAAGCCAATAAGCAGGACAGAGCCACAGGGCACCGGCATGCAGAGCCATTGCTTCAGAATGGACCCGCCAGCCCTCGCAGTAATGCAGCCTCTGTTTCTTGTCCAGGAAAAACAGTTTCATACTTTGCGAGGAAGATATGAAGAGTTTAGATATCAAAACAGGGCCTCGCTCTTGGGCAAGCTGTCCACAGCTGTGTTTTGTCAGTGGCCTCCACTCTAAGCCTCCCGTGGGCCCACGGGGAGCCGCAGCTGGGGAGCCTGTGGGGCAGCAGGAAGCGGGCATTGTCCTGGGCTTGAATCTGTGCTTGAATAGCAGAGCCTCTCTGAACCAGGGGCTGGGCTACCTGCCTCTCCTGGCTGCCATGGAGGTTAGAGAACGGGAAATTCCTATCTCAGTGCCTACTACTAGTACCTGATGGGTATTTCAAATATTGGTTCTCTTAGCTCCTGGTTCTTTACGAAGTTTATAGCCCCAGCCGGTTTGGCTCAGTGCACAGAGCGACAGCCTGTGGACCGAAGGATCCTGGGTTTGGTTCGGATCAAGGGCACATATCTCGGTTGCAGGCTCCTCCCCGGCCTGAGCCCTGGTCAGGGCACATACAGGAGGCAACTAATCAATGTGTTTCTCTCACATTGATATTTCTCTCTGTCTTTCCCTCCCTCTCCCACTCTCTAAAAATCAATGGAAAAATATCCTCAGGTGAGGAGTAAAAAGGAAAAAAGTTTATATATAAACTAAGAAACCTTGGGAATCATGGAAATATAAAGAAAAACTTTATAATTGCTCCATGTAGAGCAATTGTTTTAACTTTTTTCTGTGCACGTAAATGTATTAAATATATAATTTTTTCAAAATTTGGGTGATGCTGCATATAGTTTCATATCCTGTGGGTTACTTAATAGCTTAAGCATTTTTTGTATCATTAAATATTCAAAATGCCATTTTTAATAGCATATTATTTTAATAGTATAATGCTCTATCATATGGGTATATCTTAAGTCATTTCCATATTATTCATTTTGTGTGCCCTTTTTCACAATTATGCACATCACAGTGAGCATCCTTGTGCATATATCATGGTACTTTTGTTAGATTACTGGAAATGGGATGCAGTTTTGAGTTCTTAATGCAAATTGTGCCCAATTGCCCTCTAGAAAGATTTTCTTACCCTCCTTTTTGCAGAAGAGGATAGCATTAAAATGCCTGGAATGATGTTACTAGAACAATGATGTTACTAGAACAGTACATGTAAACACTTAGAGAGTCATCTCACGTGTTAAGATTCAGTAAGCTCTGTGGGCAAGGCTGAGCCTGGCTTCCTCCAGGAGCCTCAAGCTGGCTCACTTCTGTGCTGCCCACAGGTGTTTGGGAGAGATAAGGTACCCAAGCTGGCCTTATCTCCTCGTAACAGAAGGAACCTGTCCACTCTTGGCGGATGCTGTGTCACCCATATTCCTTGAAGAGGGATCTGTATGAATTCGAGTGGGGGAGTAGAAGCAAAGGGCTTGGAGTTTAGTTGTTGGTACAAGTTTGTGTTTTAGTAATGGGAAAATTCCTTACTATTCTAAAGTAAATTTGTCTGGTCTCTAGTAGAGATTGGCAACTGCCTTATTTGTTTTTATTTCTTAATACGCATATAAAAATGCTGCATGGCATAGATCTGAGTAGGCAATTATTTTTAGAATCTAAGGTTGACCCCCACAGAGCTATGAAGATCTTCCATTAGGCCTGAAGGTACCGGGAGAAAGGAAGTTCCCTGGAGGTCAGCTAGTTTTTTGTCTCAGGATCTGTGAGAAAACTTGTACTTTTCCACAAGGAGACCGGCAGTGACTTACATCCCTTTAGAGGAGAAAATCGGCCTCTCTGGCTTTGAAGGACCATCTCTCACTCCTGACTCAGACTCCCCTTTGTGGCAGGAAATAGGAGGTAAGTGGTCTGCTTGTTCAAGAAAGGGGGTTTGGACCTGGGTTCTCTGTCTCAAGTCCACTCCCAGGGACAGAGGTCACTCTACATTCTCGAAGTGGTCCTTCAGCAGGAGAAATGCTGGGGGGTGCATATTTTGATGCTACTGCTAGTGAGTAGCTGTCAGGCTGTCACCTGCCTCACACTCTTAACCCTCCCGAACCAGCACAAGCTACTTTGTCTTAGGTTCATGGCACTTCCCTGGGATATCCCACCGACACTGGTACAGAATGATTCTGCTTGCCCTTATAATCATAAAATAGCGAACGAGACAGAAACTGCCCTACCCACATGGAACTCACATTCTAAAGGAGAGAGACAGTAAGTAAATACCAGGTAGTGAAAAGTGCTAAGAAAAAAACAACTGGCTAACAGAGTTGGGGAGAAGTCAGATACAGGTCATGGAAGGTGTCTATGGGTTGACACACATAAGCTGAGACCTGAGTGATGGAAAGGAGCCAGTCAGATGAAAGACCACGTGATGGGCGTTAACTTGGTGCCCGAGGCACATCAAGGAGAGCATATGGCCAAAGGGAAGAAGAGGAGATGACCTCAGGGAGGGAGACATACCTTGGATCAGAAGTGACTTAGAGGTTAAAGTAAGAAGTTTGGGTTTTTATCTCAGTGTAATTAATGGGAGGCTATTGGAGTGCTTCCCTGGAAGGGAGTGATACGATCTGATACAAACTTTTATTTTAATGTTTTTCTTATTGTTTAAAGTGTTACGTATGCCCCCTGATGATACATACTTTTAAAAGCAACAGATGGAGCCCTTGCCAGTTTGGCTCAATGGGTAGAGCACCAGCCTGTGGACCAAAGGGTCCCGGGTTTGATTCCCGTCAAGGACACGTACCTTGGTTGTAGGCTCCTCCCTGGCCCTGACCCTGGTTAACAAAAAAACAAACAAACAAACAAATAAAATCAAAAATGGAGAAAGGGGCAGGGATGAAAGCAGGAATACCCGTTAGGAAGCTCTTGCCAGCAGTGAGAGGTATTGGTGAGCGGGACTGGGGGTTTCGGAAGATGGGCTTTGGATGGTGTTCAGATCTATTAGACTCTATTAGCGTTACCTCTTTAGCACAAGCACGTATAGGGACTAAGATAAACCTTTCTCCCACCAAAGCTTTCCCAAAGGAGAAATGTATATGTAACCATATATACACCCACAGATAGCATGTAGATGCACATATTTGGAGGGACGGAAGGAAGGAAGAAAATGCGTACGTTTATTTACAACGTAAGTGAATATCTGGAATACTTTATGAATTAAGACTATTTCCTATAATAGACATGTTTTGTAACTGTGTACTTAGGAAAAAAGATATGGTTTACTTGCTTTGGAGTCAACACAAGCCTTGGGGTTAGAGGTTACATTTCCTGAGAGAATAAGAGTCTTCAGTAAAAAAACTGCACTCATCAGAGAATACTTGCCTTTTAAATTATTGAAATTATTATGATGTTTTAACCATAAATGTTTATGAGAAAAACATTGGTCCTGATCTGTGAGTATCTGCGTTTGTGAGAAGAGATCTATGAGATGAAATGGAGAACGGGGCACAGTTGGAATCAGTGTGAATTGAGCCTTTTTAATTCACCAAGTTGTAATAGTCTGTCTCCTTACAGGGAGCACAGAACGAACAAGGTAATTTTTAGTTGATGAGAGTGCATCCTCCCGCTGCAAGGCTCCGAGTCAGGATAGACATAATTTACACCAGCCGTCCCTTTTAATCAAGGCAGTGGAGGTCCGTACCTGTTATTACTCCATCTTTCACTGCTCATAGACTTTCTGGTTTCACAGACAGGATCAGCAGATAGGAATAGCAATGGATTCAGAGTTATCTTGGAAGTAACATTAGGGAAATGCTCTGATGGATGGAATGAGGGAGGTAAGAAAAAGCATTATCACCTCCATTTCAGGGATGAGGAAATCGAGCAAGTCCACTCACACCCTAGTAACTAGAAGAGTCGGGCTTCCTACTGACAGGCACCGAAGCCTACGCTCTTCTGTACTGGACATCCGGGGAGCACTGAGCTTGGTCAGGCAGAGCCTACTTCACACTAGAGAATTTTGCCTCTAGTTATTTATATATATATTATTGATTTTCGAGAGGAAGGGAGAGAGAAAGAGAGACAAAAACATCCATGATGACAGAGAATCATTGATCAGCTGCCTCTCGCATGCCCCACACTGGGGATCAAGCCCGAAACCCAGTCATATGCCCTGACTGGGAATTGAACCTCAACCTCCTGATTCATAGGTCAATGCTCGACCACTGAGCCATGCGGGCCTGTCCGTCTCTAGTTTTGATAAGACACCTCCTACCCCACCTCGGTGGAGAGAACCACTTGCTAACCACTTGATGACAGCTTACCAATTTTATAAAAATGCTTCCAAAAGTAATAAAAAAAATAAGTTAAATTCACAGCCGAAGATGAAGATCGTTATTTTGAGATTTCTTTTTTTTTTTTATAATAACTATTTTTTTAATATATTTTATTGATTTTTTACAGAGAGGAAGGGAGAGAGATAGAGAGTTAGAAACATCGATCAGCTGCCTCCTGCACACCCCCCACTGGGGAAGTGCCCGCAACCCAGGTACATGCCCTTGACCGGAATCGAACCTGGGACCTTTCAGTCCGCAGGCTGACGCTCTATCCACTGAGCCAAACCGGTTTCGGCTATTTTGAGATTTCTTAAAGTCTATTCTGTAGTTAACAAATTTCGCTGCTTTGCACACTGCGAATAAACAGTTATTTACTCAGTAAAACAGTTGTTAGTGCCAACCACATCCCAGGACTTTTGTTAGGCAAGGGATACTGCGTTGGGGCCTTT